CAGAGCCTCTGCTGAGGAGAAAGATCAAATATCTAATGTTCTTTCAGTGGATGGTGCCAATCATTCGAAGTTCAATGAAGCCATTGCAGGTTTGTTCAAGTGCTTTATCTTCTTTTGTTTTTTCCAGTCCGTTAAAAAGAAGCGCTTTTATTTAATTCTGTGAAACCGGTTTTCATTTTGCAGGAAATGGACTACAGTAGAATGACAGAGCGTCTGCTTAGACTAGCAGTAAGTTAAACCAACTACACTAAATTCCTCCTCAGAATAGAAACATAAACCTGTGTTCAGATTTTCACTTAGATCTGTTGTTTTGATGGAGAATATGAAGCAAGAAACGAATGATGGAATAAACTGATATCTATTTTTATACTAGGTGCCCAACCATCTCATCTGGCTGATTTTCTTCTACTGTTTTTTCCATTCCTCAATGAACTTTGTGGCTGAGCTATTGAGGTTTGGAGATCGGGAATTCTACCGTGACTGGTGGTGAGAGAGCTTTACAGTTATTTCTCTTAAAAATAAAAAAAAATGCTTTATTTGAGCAGCTAGAGGTACCACTTTCACACCATACTGCGTTTGATAGGCTTTAAATGCAGTCAGTCTGGTTTATATGTGCCATCTCTGCCTCTTCCATTTCATATGTAGAGTTTTTATTTTAAGTCTCAGATGGATTGTGACACTGTGTTTCTTTTAGGAACTCCGAGACAATAACGTACTTCTGGCAAAACTGGAATATTCCCGTGCACAAGTGGTGTCTCCGGTGAGTGAACGGAGGTTTTGAAAGAGACCACAGACAGCTGTTGGGAGCAGTGGGGGCACCTTTCATGACGTTCTTAAACAAAACATCCTGGAGTGAATGTTCCTCACGCAGACGGTTCTGAATGAGCAAAAGTGTTCTGATGGACACAATACCATAACAGTTCAGATTTTTCTTTATAAAACGAATAGTTCCAGACAGTGACGGTCCTTGATTCTGATTGGTTGAGCCGCGTTCAAAGCTGTTGTAAATTACTCTTCAAACATACACCTTTGTTTACGTTTGTGTGTATTACATTATTGCTTTATTAAATAATCACATCTTTATATATTATTGCAATTTAAATATTATTAATGATAATAATAATTAAGAAAATATGATAATGATAATCCTAATTTACCTGTGCCAGAGCCTCTGCTGAGGAGAAAGATCAAAAATAACCTGCAGAAAAGAGGTGTAAAATATGTTATGGCACCACTTTAACAAGATTCTAGCAAATAAGTAACCTTCAGCTACTCACAGGTTCATACTGAAGGCCATCAGATGCCACCATCGTCTCGGCTAGATCTAACACATCTGCTCCAACAACTGAAAAAAAAACCCTGGCAATTACTGACAATTTTATGCTACAGTTTATTCAACATATTACTATAGTAAGATATACTTACATTGGCACCTCATGGCAACTGTGATATCAATATTAATTCGTAGTTTGCTGCAAGATGAAAATATAAACAAAATGTTAGTGTTTTTAATCATGTTATATATAATAACAAAATAGACCTAGTAAAATCACCTAGTAAAATCCTTATCCACTTCATACTCGTATTTCATCCATGTGTCTCGATATACAAAGAACTCAAAGAAGGCCAAGAGTGCCATGGCCGTGAAGGCCAACACAGACACTGAGGAAGAAAATTAAAAACAATATAATTTAATTTCAATTCAGTACCACAGCTGTAATATTTGAGGAGTCAGAAAAGAAAATGTGCAATATTATCTACAGTAAATAACACCATACAAATAACTCACACATCACTGAGATACTATTATTTATTAATGTTTTTATATTTTATTTTACATTTATATTTTCCACTATGTATATCTATATAGTATTTATTTACCTCCGATTTAGTTATTTTAGTACATCAAATGAATATATATCCTCCTGGGACCGGCACAGACTTTTGTCCTTTATAGAGGACATTCTATTTTAGTGAATTTCTCTGAGACCACACATGCCACAGTTTTAGGATGTCCTGTACAGGGCACATTCAGGGCTTTTTAGAGATATCAAATGTTTGGAGGTTTGATCATAAACAAACCTTCTCCTTGGTGTTTAAATATGACTGATATTGACAGAATGATCAAATTTAGCACTCTTCGGGAAATATGATATTGTTTTGTAATTATTTTGTAATCATCATTTAAATCGGACTAATTTTAAATTTTTTTGTTGTAAATAAACATCTCAGAAAAATGTTATGGGGTTTAAAATCGGAATGAGGTTTTGTTACGAAACAAGGCGTAATCATACATGTCTTCTGTAGAGGACACCAGGACAAACATCATGTTAATCAGGCATTTTGGGGAAAGAAATTACAGATGATATTCCTATGAAATATGAGATATTCTAATGAAAAAGTTATTACTCCCATTATTTTTCATTATGGTTTTCCCCAAGAATACATTAATATGCCAATTAGATGCAGTGTATAGATACATTGTATAGAATGGGAATATCAATTTATGACATTTGGACATTTTACGCACATATTCCATAAAGTACAGTAGTATATCAAATCATTCTGCTGTATCTTTCATAACATAGTTGAGAATCATCTTTGTACAAAGTTTGGTTAAAAATAGCCTGAAACCCAAAAACCGATTGGTGATTGAAAAAAATAAAACATTGTTTTTGCCTATACATGCCTTTTCATGTCTATTTATTTTGTTGAATAACTTAACATCCTCCATTTGTTTCTTATGCTCCAACCAATGTAATGAGAAAAAAAAAAAAACATTCACAAAACATTTGTATGGTTCTCAGGAGGATATGGCAAATGAAATCTCAGCTCATCTCACCAGTTCCTCCACTGGCTGTTGTCTCCACATAACTCTCAGGAACCTTGGGAAAAGCATCCACCTCCTTTACAAAGTTCAGGGCTTTTTTTCTGTTCAGCCTCCTCATCGTCACAGCAGTTGGCTGTTATCTTCCTCATGAATTTGACATCCTCCATTTGTTTCTTATGCTCCAACCAATGTAATGAGAAAAAAAAACAACATTCACAAAACATTTGTATGGTTCTCAGGAGGATATGGCAAATGAAATCTCAGCTCATCTCACCAGTTCCTCCACTGGCTGTTGTCTCCACATAACTCTCAGGAACCTTGGGAAAAGCATCCACCTCCTTTACAAAGTTCAGGGCTTTTTTTCTGTTCAGCCTCCTCATCGTCACAGCAGTTGGCTGTTATCTTCCTCATGAATTTAGTCTGCGATTCATCATTTATTGATAAACCAAGGTGAGTTGCACAATTATATACATTTAGCCCAATGCTAAATATGCGAAACGTTTAAGCACACAAGCTAGGACGTAGACCTATTTTGACTGTAAACAGCTCTTAAAGAGTATTTTCTAACAATTCGTCTGTGAATGCTCAGTTGTCTATGGTTACTGTTAGGCATTGCTAGCCGTGCACTTGTCTGGCTTGCTATTTTACTTACTTTGTGTTCTACCTACCTTGAAATCCTATTTTAAACGGCACATTGTGGTTTCTGCAAATTTCAAATAAATAATCTCCTTTTACAATAAGCGTTTAATGAAATAACGGACAGAAATGTAGAGCACTCGCGAGAGGGAAGCTGATGTGTTGTAGTCGCACGCTTCCGGTCTGGTGGATTATGGGATATGTAGTCATCAAAATACGGGGGGAAATGAGTACTAGCTTACTACTCGTACCATTTCTGTTATATCTTTGTTTTAGAAGTAGTACGAGTTTAGAGTTCAAAATAATCCAAATCCAAGCAAACAGAGTCTAATTAAAAGACTCGCATCGTGCACTACGAGAAAGCTTTTATTTAACGACATACATTGTTTTCCTGAATTCAGAAATAATACTAAATAATAACTAATGCGGTTCTGAACATGAACATTTCACAACACAAGGTAAACATGTCTGATTTTAAATGTATCCGTACAACTTTTTTTGTCTGCAAAAAGTAGGCTAGCTTGCATTATTTTTCCAGGCCATTACCACAGCGGTCACATAAATATATAAAGCTCAGTGTTGGGGAAAGCTACTTTTAAAAGTAATGCATTACAATATTGCGTTACTCCCTAAAAAAAGTAACTAATTACGTTACTTAGTTACTTTTTATGGAAAGTAATGCGTTATATTACTTTTGCATTACTTTTTAAATATAAGCAGGGCTTGTTTGTTTTTAATATAAGAAGTTCTATTTATAGCAAATGTAAAAGCCCTTTCACACCAAAAAGTGTAATGAATAAACCTCAGGCTGAAGCAAAAGTAAATTCACGTCTGTACAGTAGAACTCAGGAGAAGAAACACTCTTCAGCAATAAAAAACAAAGTACAATTGTTAAGTTTCTCTAAAGTCATTTTTGCTTATTATTATGGTTGAACTGGATCATCAAAGGTCAGCAGCAAAGACATTGGTTAATAAAATGGGATTAGATACATTTGTGTTATTTAACATATTTAATTATTGCAGGTTTGCGTCATATTCTGAGTTCGCATTTCACTTTTTTAATTCATTTTGATGAATACTAAATCAGTTTTTTTGTGAATGGGATGAATTAATGCACATTCACATTTAGTCTAGAACTACAGTAACATCATGTTCACACAGCGCACACAATTCCTCTGCACTTCTGATTCCTCCCAATATGGTGACAGGAGAGCTGTCAGTCAATAAATAGGAAAACAAAGTAACTGGCATTACTTTTTTGAAAAAGTAACTCCGATATGTTCTTGTAAATTAAAAAAGTAATGCGTTACTTTACTAGTTACTTGAAAAAAGTAATCTGATTACGTAACTCGCATTACTTGTAATGAGTTACCCCCAACACTGATAAAGCTAGAACAGAAAACATGAAATTTAAATAACATTTAACAACAGTACCAAATTAGTAGCACTAAAAACATTTTCGCATAATAAACCTTAAGCTGTAGGCTTGCATCACCGTACTTTTAAGTGGCATCTGAATGTAGGACACATAAATCTAAATGTCAGCTGAATCCGGCCCCTCGTCCCGTAACACTGGCTGTTCATGGCTGTCAGAGGTTGGTGTGCCGGTGTTCTCTTGAGAGGGGTCTTCAGAACAGCAGCTAATGGCGGGCGATATAACATCAGGGCTTGTGTCACATGACTCCGTGCTCTGTTCGGACGTTGCAGTAGTAGTGATGGTGGTGGCCACGCTGGGAGGAATGGGGTCAAATTCATCATCATCCTCCAGGTTGGAACATTCATTGATGTCTGTTGCAAACAAAGTGGTTTGATTACACAACTTGAGCAAAACTGGTACAAAATAAGGAAGGCACAATGTATTTTGTATTATGCACGACCAATCAAAAGTGTCACATGATCATTCTAATATGCTCAAGAAACATTTCTTATTATTATCAATGCTGAAAACAGCTGTGCTGCTTAATATTTTTGTGGAAACTCTTGATACATTTTTCCAGGAGTCTTTGTTGAATAGAACGTTCAAAAGAACTGCATCTATTTGAAATAGAAATCTACTGTAACATTATTCATTTCTTTACAGTCACTTTTGATCAATTTAATGCATCCTTGCTGAATAAGTATTAATGGAGTATTGATTTTTTTTAAATCTTACTGTAGTGTACATTAGTGATTTTTTTATATCGGTAAATATTGGATATTCAATTGTGGATGCTCATTTTTAGTTTTTAGAAACTAAAAAGGATAATGCTAGATTATTTTTTTTTTTACTTAAGATTGAACCATTTTGTGATTAGTCTTTCCTAGGTGCCACAATATTGTTTTAACATGGACAAAAACTACTGATTTTTATTTTTGCATTTTATTTATTTATTTTGTCAAAACAGCAGTTTAATCGTAGTGCATCCCAATACAAAATACTGCATTATAACTTACTGCTGAAGGCCTCTGGATATTGTTTCGCAACCTTGCCTTTTAAAGTCCTGGGGAAACACAAATTATATTATGCATAGGAAATAACTAATGTTACACAATAAATTGTAATATTATGCTTAACAACCATTGTTTGCATTTTCAAACTTCCATGACAAGCTTGAATGTGTTAATCTTATCATACACTTGCTTGTAATGGAGGGAGAAGTGTTCATGTCAGATCTTAGCTTTCCCACATCATCATAATTAATGTCTTAAGTTGTGAATATAATACCTTATTCGTCTGAAAATGCTGTCCAAGTCTTTCTTCATCTCTATTAAAGTGCGGGTGTGCATTAGAAAGTGTTCATTCATCTGTTGTAAGCGCACATTGGACAGTCCGTTGAAGTTGATCAGCATCTCATTGGTCTTCTCAAACCGGTCCAGCCTGGAATACAAAATACATGCAGCAAAATCAGGATGAAGGCATAAAAATGCTGCCTAGGCAGGTCACTAGATAGGGAAACTCACATGTGTCTCTGAGCTTGAATGATGGCGTTCACGTCTTCAGAGTTCACCATGCTGAGCATCCTGTTACAGAATATTCCCGATGCTGTGGGCTCCATGATGAGGCTTTTCATAAAACACAAGATATTAACGTTAATCATGAATCAAGTCAATAATGAACCGATTGATACAAGTAACGTTATAGTCGCTTACGTTGTGAAATATTCACTGACTAGTTTGCGTCTGACTTGGTTTTAATTCAAAAACGTCTTCATCAGATGCACACTTGGATGAGGCTTTGACGCAAACACATACACCTTTTATTATACTTGTAAAACGATTTAAAAAAATGACCGCACCGAAAAGCAGTCAGACATTTTTGTTGTGAAGTTGTCATATGATCACATGAGAGTGGCGTAACTCGGGAGGCGGGATCACGGAGATTTTGTAAGCGTTGATTGGCTTTTGAATTTTCATTTATTTTGAATTATTGATTCATTTTATTTTATATTAAAGAATACATAAAAATGAATCGAATAATAAATAACGCACGAATTATTTTATACAACATTTTTAAACTGAATTATTTTTACAACATTTTTCAACATTACATTTTTAATGCTAGATATGATTTTTACATAAAACAATGCATGCCTTTTTAATCATTCTATAATGACACATATTATGTGTCACATGAGGATAAATAGTTCATAATAGTATCATATATGTTGCATGTTTGTTGCATTTATTATATATTTTTATATATTTAATATTAAATAATAATTAGAAATATTAATAATTCCATGAAATAATAATTGATAATGACTATTTCAGGTAAAACAATGTGTCACTTGAAGAGGATAAATAGTTCACGTTTGAAATTTAATATTTATTTATTTATTCAGCACCACAATAAAGCAATATCACTTCAAATCAAATCTTGTATGAGTCTCTGGCTCGAGGGCCGGTTGTGTTGAGTCCTGCTTCACCTTTGTTCAAACAAACACTGTGCTGGCGCTGGTTGTCACCGCACAGACAGCCCTGAAGGTTCTGCTGGAGCTTGTGGGAAATGTCACGGTGAGTGGGCTTCATGAATGATTTGTTTCTACCAGACATGTGCAGGTTCCTCTTCTGCCTTTAACCTTAACAGATAACACTAACTTCTCAAAATGCCACGCATAGCTAATGAAAATGAGAACACCTCTGCACCAGTCCACACCCCCAGTGTGTTACAATGCTATTTTAGTATTTGATGTTGGCTTTATGTTATAATTAACACTAATATATATGCAAATTAATAATGTGTTTCCTTTAAAAATGTAAACAAAAGCTCCTGGTGGTGAATATTGCTTAATTTAATAATAATAATAATATTTAATTATAAAGTATAAATATTATTATTATTAATTAGTCATTCTAAAAAATATTTTGATATTATCATATAAATAAAAAATTTGCAAAAAATAATTTTATTAATAATTGTTTAATTTAAGATGTTTATGTTTACGCCACTGCCTGCATCTCAATGTAGTTCCGCGGTTGTCCAGTACGTGGCAGTAAACCGATTCAAAACGGATTCTCGCTTAGTGAATCATTATAGAAGAAGCCGTTCACGCATTCGAGCTCTTCTGAAGAGTTAATAAAAAATATATCTCAGTATACCAGTTATTCGTATTATTTTACGGATTTACTCTTGACAACAGGTGAGGAACTAATTTTACTAGTTCAATTTGACCGACGACGGAAAAAGTCGCTTATAAAGCAGTTGCGTCCTGTACATCGAGCTGGCTAACATTAGCATCTTCCTATCTAACGTTCAATGCTGGACTTATCTCTCCATATTAATGGTTTTCTCTACCAATAACTCTTTAAGAGCCGTGTTTTAATGTAAAAGTGTCATAAAAAAACACAACACGTCTTTTTGATCTCATTTCAGCTGGTCAGAATGGCATCAGACTGGATTGGCTGTCTTGTTTCAATCCACTGTGGACCAACTCTGGGAGTTTATCAAGGAGAAGTGTCTTCAGTAGATCAGACCAGCCAGACCATCTCTCTCAGACTTCCCTTCCACAATGGAGTCAAGTGCACTGTGCCTGAGGTCACCTTCAGGTGAATAATAAAATGTAGATCCTAAAAGGGTCACTGTCTGACATTGTAGTGTCTGTTTTTGATTCTTTATGAATGATTTTAAGACGGACCATCTCATCTCATCGGTCATATTCTACAAAGTCAAAGTATTATGTTATTAAACATTCTTGATACAACAATTTAATACAGGGTAATCAGAATTTGGATACCAAGTACTATTGTTGACTATATTAAAACTATATTAAAAAAACGATATTATTTCTAATCTGCAGTGCCATGGACATTAAAGATATCAAAATCCTAGAAATCCGTAAGAGCTCAACTGAAGTCCCAAAGCAGAATGGTCCAGACTCCAGCTCCACATTGACGCCACATGGCGGACGCAAGGATAAGGGTGGTGGCGCACCGGGCAATAGCGCTCCTCTGACGGTACCTAACAAAACGGAACCTAAAACGCAGGAAGGAGGGGTGTCTCCAGTGCCACACTACTCAAAGAGTTATGGTGAACGTCACATGGACATGGCTGTCCAAAGTAAAGGCTTTAGACGAAGACACAACTCCTGTGAGTCTCCTGTGTCATTGGATTTTGAATCTAATCTTTCAGATTTTAACTTTTTTTGTATATATGTTTATGTATTTGTATTAGAGCTGCAAAATGTATGGATTTTCCAGTTAAAATGGCAATTAAAAGAAGTATTCCAGGTTTGCTATGCTTGTTTGTAGGGCTGCACAATTTAGTCCAAATTTGGTTATATATCAGTTTGGTTATTAAATAATAATAATAATAAATAAAAACATATAAAATATTTAAAAACAATAACAAAAAAGTAATATTACTAGTATATATTTCACTGTCAAAAAGTATTATCCATCACAACTGTAAAATTAATATAAAAAGTTCATATCAATGTAAAATGCCAATAGTAACTATTGTGTGTGTATACATACTGTGTGTGTGTGTGTGTATATATATATATATATATATATATATATATTGTGTGTGTGTGTCTGTGTGCTTTTTTATATATA